AGCTTGGTTGGCTTGAGACACTTCTGAGGTCAACTCACAAGAAGCGCAGGAAATGAAAAGACCAAGGATAAAAGTATTACGGGAAGGCAAATGAGAAAAGGAAAATATCATTCAGAAGCCAGGATCTCCGGTGTTTTAGAAACACTGAGTCAGAAACCTCCTCCTAATAGACATGTTTCACTTAATATGTCTAAACGGGCCTCTCTTCCTGCACCTCCCCGGTCTGTCCATCCACCTACTTGCTCAAGCTAAAAATCGAGGAGACATCCTGTTCCTCTCTTTCCCTCACCCTCCACTACTGATCCACCCATCAGCCTTGTCCAGCCACGTACACTGGCCCCTGACCATGTGCTCTATTTCTGTCCACACATCTCCACCAGCACCCCTACAACATGCAGTGCCTTGGCAGCTCCTCTGGGCTAAGAGCATGTTGGGTAGGAAACCCCAGGGTCCTGCGCACCAAATGGGGTCAAGAACAGGTTGATGTGAGCTCTGAATACTCACAGCCCCTTGTATCCGTAGATTCCTCCCCTCAGTGGAGCATGGCCAGACGAAGCCAGTCAGGGCCCTGATGGCCAGGGAAGGACAAGGCTGCCCTTGGGTCTGCCTACAACACCCCTCCTGACTGAGGAGACCCATTTCTCTCACCTCCAAGTCACCCATAACTGGCCCATAACCCTGCAGTGGACCCCTGTTACCCTGCTTGCTCCCCCATAATCTATCCTTTTCCCACCCCACTCCCCTCCCTGCACCCAGAATGACCTTTTAAAAATATAAATCAGATCATGTCACCACCATGCCTAAAACCTCCCTGTCGCACTTAGAATGAAATCCCAGCTCCCTGACCTCACAGACTACTTCAGGGGCACCTGAGGACCGGGAAGAGGGCCATGTCCTTTCAGCGAATATAGATGGGATTAGCAGCATGGGCTTTGGCATCAGACAGCCTGGGCTCAGATCCTGTTTAGCTACTTACTATCTCTGTGAATTTTTTTTTTATTTTATTTAAAGACTTTATTTTTATTTATTTGGCAGAGAGAGAGATAGCAAGAGTGGGAACACAAGCAGGGGAGTGGGAGAGGGAGAAGCAGGCTTCCCGCTGACCAGGGAGCCTGATGCGGGGCTCGATCCCAGGACCCTGGGACCATGACCTGAGCCGAAGGCAGACGCTTAACGACTGAGCCACCCAGGCGCCCCTATCTCTGTGAATTTGAGCAAGTTCCTTAAACACTTCTCCAAACCCTAGTTTACTCATCTATAAACTGGTGATGATCTTATAAGTACCATCTTACCTGGGGTGTCCGGGTGGCTCAGTTGGTTAAGCGTCCAACTCTTGATTTTGGCTCAGGTCATGATCTTAGTGTTGTGAGATTGACGCCCGTGGTGGGCTCCATGCTGGGCATGGAGCCTGCTTGAGATTCTCTCTCTCCCTCTGCCTCTCTCCAACCCCCTCCCCACCCCTGGCTCACACACACTCTCTAAAAAAATAAAGAAAGAAAATAAATAAGTACCTGTCTTACAGAGTTTGTATCAAGCATTCTGTGCATTCACACTCAATATTAGTGGATAAAAATAATCACAATAATGGAAACATTAACTAATTTAAAGCCAGGGTCTGAATCTTCAGCTATAAGCTTTTCATACACTTCCTTAGCTGCCAAGCCACACTGTCTACACACTAAATATGTTAGAAGTTTACTTGTAGAAGGCAAGCTAGCAATTGAATGGAATAATAAAACTATAAAACTTATAGCTAGAAAATATCCAGAGTACCACAACATGATTCTCTAAGGTTTTACAGTGCCAAGAGAAATTTAGAAAGCTCTTATTTTATGTTGTTGCACAACTACTGAGATCTGCTCTCATTTTGAATTTAAGTTGAGAAAGAATAGGAAAAAACTAAAGCAATCACTGAAGAACTTTCTTTTTTTTTAAAGATTTTATTTATTTATTTGAGACAGAAAGAATGAGATACAGAGAGCATGAGAGGGAGGAGGGTCAGAGGGAGAAGCAGACTCCCTGCCGAGCAGGGAGCCCGATGCGGGACTCGATCCCGGAACTACAGGATCATGACCTGAGCCGAAGGCAGTCGCCCAACCAACTGAGCCACCCAGGCGCCCTTTTTTTTTTTTTTTTTTTTAAAGATTTTATTTATTTATTTGAGACTGAAGAACTTTCTGATCATCTGAAAGCCTGCTCCTTATTCAGAGTATGACTCATACCCACAATGTCCCTGACTTGCAATTGTCCATCTCCTCTGGAGTTGGGACACCCATACTGCTCAGGAAAGCCATTATATTTACAGGCAATGCCAATTTTTAAAAGGAACATCACATAAAACCAAAATTCGTTTTCTATTCATGAATACCCACTAGCCCGTGTTTCACCCTCAGATGTCATGTAAAATTTCTTCCACATGATAGTCTTTAAATAGCTGTAGACAACTGCCTTGTTCTCCACTAAGCAGTCTCTCCTACAGGTTAAAGTTCCCAGGTCCTTCAATCCTTCCTCAAGCACGTCTGGACTCCATAATCCTGGGCATATTTTTCTGAGCATGCTGGTCTGTGAATGTCCCTCTTGAAAGGGGCCCCTCAAAGTACACACTATCCTCCAGGACTAGTCTTGCCATAACAAACAGAGTAAGATATCACCTCCTTCATTTTGGACATTGTATTTTCATTGATATAATCAAAGATCACATTAGATTCACTGGCAGACACAGTGACTTGCTTACAGTCAACTAAAACCACCATGCTTCTCATACACATGTTCTCGCATCAACCTCTGTCTGTTTGGTCTTTTCCAACCACAACCAGGATTTTACATGTATTCCCTATCTCCTTCATTTTGTTGGCATCTCTTTACTCTTCTAGCCTCTCCAGGTCATTTTGGATTATGGTTCTAGCATCCATGGTCTAGTATATATAGTTTCATGTCACACAAGTACTGGATTATCAGGTCATCCATATCCTCATGCTAGTCACTGACAAAGCTGTTGAATGGGGCTCTGCCATCTGCCATCCAGACCTGCTGCCGGCCCCACAGGGGCTCACTGAACTATCATTCTTTATACACATTCTGTGGAAGACACACCCTCGGGTCACCCCCAATGACTCATGCCCTTGTGTCATCCCTTCCCTGTGAGCGTGCAACCTGTGACTTGCTTCTAGCCAACAGAACATGGCAAAGGTGATGGCATGTCACTCCCCTTGACTTACATTAGATGAGATTACATTACTTAATACTGTCTCAGCATACTGGAACGAGAGACTCCCTTGCCGGCTTTGAAGAAGCTGCAGTGTTGTCAGATGGTCACATGGCAAGGGTCTACAGGAGGCCTCTAGGCCAGTACCGCTCCTTCCCCCCAAAAGACCCCAGCAAGCTCAATCTCACATGTGCAAGGACATGAATTCTGTCAAGCACCTGAGGGAGCATAGAAATGGAATTTCCCCAGTCAAGCCTCTGATGAAACCTCAGCCCCTCACTGGCATGGTACCCTGGTTAGGCCCTGAGCAGAGGCCACAAGCCTTGCCCAGACACCTGATCCACAGATACTCTGAGATAAGAAATGGGTGTTGTTCTAAGCTGCTGAGTTTGTAATTTGTTACATAGCATAGAAAACCAGTATCACCAATAAATCCACCTAACTGTGCTGTAATCCAGCACCTATTTTCTCTGTCTTGTTCTTAACAGCATCAGTAACAAATGCCTTGGTAAAACCCAGATACTCTATTTTCCATTCACTTAGTTTAATAATCTAATAACTCTGTTAATGTGCAGAAATAAGATTAGGTTCACCTGCCTTCTTAGGGAACTCATTCTGATAATTGCTGCTTTCCTGAAAGCTCACAAATTATCCAAATATATCACAAAATATTGTTAAAAACAATCTCGTTTCAGGCTTGAAGACAAATTCCCTATTCTACACAGTGTGTCTACACATCTATTTCCTCTTTTTGAAAATCAGGATTATTTTGCTTACAGGCAGTCTCCTGATACTCTAAAATTCTCTTGATTTTAAGTTACCTGAGGGCAAAGACCATCTGGGCTTCTTTGCATACCCCAGAGTGCTTAGCACAGCATCTTTCACATAGTCCTTTCAACTTAAAAGCTGTAAAAATAGTTTATGACTGAAAAATACTATTAATATATGGTTGCCACAAATCTTCAGAAGGAGACTTAATTTGAGCCAAGGATTTTCAATTTACATGGATGCCCTGGATGAGAGTAAAACTCAGATTTTATATGCAAGTCACATTCTTTCTGTCCCCTGTGGCCTTACGGATATTGTGATGGCCAACCATCCATCTGCTCATGACACTTAGAAATAGGAATCCCTGTGACCTAAGCAAATTAATCTTGCTTTCAAAGGAGCCCAATTTATAATGACGTTGAAAGAGCTAGGCACTGAGAACGTCCAAATTCAGCAAATATTTAATGGACTGCCTTTGAGTGCTGTCTACAAATTCATAGTTGAAATGCTTTTCAAGATATGGAGCTTAATCTACCTTCCCCTTGAGTGTGGGTTGGACTTAATGACTCATTTTTAAAGAGCAGAATATGGTGGAAGTGATGGTGTGTGACTTCTGAGGCTAGGTCATAAAAGGCATGTGGCTTTTTCTTGTGCTTTCTCTTGGATCACCGGCTCTGAAGTCAGCCAGCTGCCATACTGTGAGAACACTCAAGCAATTTCACATTGTGAGGAACCAAGGTCTCTTGCCAACTGCGGCCTCCTGCCAAGAGCCATGTGAATGAGTCATCTTGGAAGCAGATCCTCAGCCCCAGTTAAGGTTTCAAGATGACTGCAGCCCTGGCCAATATCTTGATGCAACCTTACAAGAGATACTGAGCCAGAATCACCCAGCTAAGCCACTCCTGAATTCCCAATCCACAGAAACTGTGAGATAGCAAATGTTTACTGTTTTAAGTTGCCAAATTTAGGGTAATTTGTTATAGAGTAGTCAATAACTAATACAAATAAATTCAGAATTTTCACTTACCTTGCAGTATTGTAAAGTTCTTGATAAGCTGACCATGCTTGGAGTCTACCAGCTTCATTTCTTCCATAATCACTGATAAGTTGGCTACTTCAGTGTCTAACCTTGACCTCATCATATCTTGTTGCATCCTAAGAGAAACAGAATCCAAACGGATGTTGGCCAGTGTGTTATTCAAGGAGGTCAGATCATCTGTGTGTTTGGCCAGTGTGTCTGTGCACGTGGTCCTGACTTCATTCAGATTGCTGGTCAGCATCCGCAGGTAGTGGGCAGTGTAACTGATGTTGCTAATGATGTTCACAATATCCGTCTCAAAGAGCTGGAAGCGTTCCTCCAACTGGCTGAACTTGATGGCCGTTCTATTCTCCGCATCCTTGTGTACATCCTGCAGGTCTTTCAGGTTCTGCTCATTGGCTTGTGAGGCTGTGGTGATGTTGTCCATCTGACCTGTGAATGAATTGAGCTGGCTGTTCATATCCTCCAGGGTGTCATTGTTAGCTTTGGCCAAGGCAGAGTTATTGGCAGCCAGCGTCTGTAAGCTCTGCACTTTCTCCTTCAGCCAATCAGTGTCCTTCTTGGCTTGAAGGAAAACCTGCTGCAGATTTTGGAAGTCATTCTTGATTCGCTGGATAGCCTGGCTCGTGTCATCCACAGACCGCTGCAGATTAGTGATGAGGTTCCTCTGCTGCACCTGGGTCAGGTTCAGGTTGTTGAGGTTCATAATGACCACGTTATGAGAGTACATTTGGCTCTGCAGGTTGCCCTGCAGCACGCTGGTGTCTTGTTGCAGATTGGTGACATAGCCATTATACGCCTGGAGGGTCTTGTTTACGGTGGTGATGAGGAAAGAGTTATTCTCCAAAGTTTCTTTCAGTTGACTTTGCCTGTCCACCAGTGCATCCCCACTTGCCTGTAACTTCTCCAGAGTATCTTTGTTCTTGCTGGTTTTCTCTGTAATCTCACGAAGCTGCTGACGAAGATCCAGTATGTCTGATCTGAAGGTAGAGAGTTCTGAGTTGGTGCTCATGGCTTTCTTCCCAGTTTGGTCCCCTGGAATAAGACATATTTATTACTTAGGTTGGTGGTAGGGAGCAATGATCAGGTGAGGTCAAAGATCCCGAAGAGAGTTAACTGGTATGCACTGTTATTTCAGAGATAAAATTTGTGGTATATGCAGAGTGCTCTGCATTAGTAAAACCCACATACCTATTAAAACTGGGTCCTGGGAAATTGGGAGGGGTGCTAATTTTGTAAGCACTTTTCTCAAAGAAGGAGGGGGATTTTGCCAGATTCTAGAGCACTGGACAGGGTGTCAAGAAGGAAATAACCTACTGTTTATTAAATTCACCATTAATTCTTCCCCAAAAAAACAAAAACAAAAATCAAAGGATAGAAATAATTTTTTAATTTTTTAAAATTGATTTCTATAACTCTTCTATGCAGTCTAGAATATTTCAAATAGGAATTTACTGAACATTTTATAAAAGAGCTTTTATTAAAGTGTATTTGTGGTCCTTTCTAATCAGGATTCGTCTTCAGATTTTAATTGGCACAGAGTGGTTTTTTGGGGAAGAATTCAGCTCCAAAATTGCTCCTTAACATTAAAATGTATAAGTCTTTAAATTAAATCATGAGGAAAGACTCAACACACAACACAAAAATTTAACAACCTTCTGGGTGAATGTGAATTTATAGTAGTATCATTCTAAATAGCTGAGGTCATTTAACATAGAATTAGAGGATTTAGTTTAATGCACTGTTCATTCTTGTTGCAGATTACCTAATTTTTTCAGGTCGCTTTCCACTGCTGTTAGCTTGTCATCATAGGTTTGGCGAGATGTCTCCATGCCACCCGTAACATTGTCCATTTTTTCTACAACTAAGATTTGGGAATTAAGGATTAGTACACACACCTGCTCACATTTTATTTTTCAGTTTCAACAAAAAAACATTTCATTAGAGAATAAAGGAAACAGATTGAAACAAAAAGTATAAATGAAATCAAATATGGGGAAAAAGCCATTCTTTTAGAAAAATAACTTGTCACAAAACCCAGTGGTAGTTTACTTGGTTGAGAATTGTATGTTCTTAACTGTTCTTAGGATTCTGTATTGCCTTGGATGTGTTAGATGTTGTTGGGAGCTCAGTTTTATTATATAAGCCCTCAATCTGTATTATTTTCTAAAGTAATTTTCATAGATGGAGGTATAACACTGTGATCATTTACAAAATTTTATCACTTATCAGGCTCCCTGCCATTCCTAGAAGGTGGTATGCACTTATCTGGAAGGAAAGTCCATAGTAAAGAACACCTAGCTTACTTCTATAAACAGTCTTTGTAGAAGGAAGGGAAAGAAAGTCAAGAGTGTTTGTCACTCTTTCATGAAGCCTGAAAAGTCTGCTTCTCCTTAGTGACAAGCGAATCTGCACTTTATCATTTCCCAAGAAGATGCCTACATGGGTTTCCAGACAATTATTCATGAAGAAGAATTTTTTTTTTTTAGCAGCATTTTTTTGATTGTACCTGAAAGGGAAAGAGTTAGTGATACAGTGTTAAATAAAAGCTCCTGTTCTTATTTGTTCTTGGAAGGCAGTAATTCTTTATGGTTGTGAATACAAGTTTCTTTCTAAAATACTGTGTAAGAGTGTGTTTCTCTACATTTGTATCTTTGGGGTAAATACCCAGTAGTGCAATTGCTGGATCATATGGTAGCTCTATTTTCAACTTTTTGAGGAACCTCCATACT